TTTTGAGACTTGGATCTTGGAAGAGAAGTTTGCTAACTCAAGCACATCTCTCCGCTGTGTAAAATTACTCAGGTTCCTTGTCAATTCCCTGTAACTTTCTTACCCAAAGTAACTATAATCATGCCAGCGGTTTAAAACTTCACTTCTGAAAGGTTGATATAAATTGGAACAGTTCACGTATAAATCTGAAAAGGAAGAAGTAATTATGATGATCGTGATAATAATAATTACAACATTAATAGCAGTTGTACTTACTGAGTACCTGCTTTGAGCCAGGAGCTATTCTGTAATAAGTACTTTACATGTATAGTTAGTCTTTTAAAATCAATTTATTAAGTAAATATATTTGAGAAATGTAAGAAATTGGGAAATTGTTGAAATTAGGGAAAACAATTTGTAATACCACAGTTTTAGATGGATAAAATGGCCCAAAGACTGGATTTTGAGTGCTGGGTTTGTCTCTGGATTTATATTGATTTTGAGCTACATGACTCAAGACACATCTCATCTTTATTATTAAAATAGGGGTATCTAGTTCACATATATATTGTGAGAATGCATAATAATGTTTTATAAATTTCAAAATGTAAGCTGGGGATATTATTCTTAATTATAGAACTTCAGGTGAGATTTCCTGAAATTTTAATAAAGAGAAAACATAGGTTATATCAACACTACAAAAAGCCTTTTTTTTTTTTTTACAGCTAACTTTTACTGTTAATTATATGAAAGTCTATTGTGTGCTCTTGAAGGGGTCTGTAAATCTAAAACTGTTTGTTTTTAATTAATGTAGTAGAAAATGATTGTTAACTTGATTGACATATCAGTGCTTTTCATAGTAAAATTTGGAGGGCCTTTGAACTTTTGAAAAGTAATTTTGCTTTTGTTTATGTTCTTGAGGTAGGCTAATTCAGTTTATTGGGACTATTGTGTACTATTATGCTTCTGACATGAATGATGCACCAGGTACCATTAGAGTGTTATCATGTTTCCTTTCCTAATAGACTCCACTAATTCCATCAGGTTGTTTAATGTCTTTTTTCTTAGATATTCTTAATCAAATAAACTGACAACAATAATTATTATGAATAATGTACTACGAGTATGTGCCAGGCACTGAGCTGGGCACTTTACATGCAGTATTTGTATTTCTCTGATAATTAACAATTTTACTTCTCAAAGAAGGTAATAAGGTATTTTTCATTGTAATACTCTTAAAAACTTGATTTAGGAAGTTTTGTTTTGTATACTTTGTTCTGAAAGGTTCATTACTATTTCTCAAACAGAATACTTATCACACTACCACAGTTGTCGATTTTGCTGTTTGTGAGATTACAGTATCTTAAGTATAATGATTTTTTTTTGTATTTATACATTTTCACGAGTTTCACTGTTCTGTTTTCTTTAATTTGCCTTTTCTTATTTTTATCCATGTTCTTATTTCCATTTAGTCCTGTTACTCTAATTTTTAAATCATTCTATTTTATTTGAACTACTTTTTCATCTTGTGATCAAGGTTCTTTTATTATTTTTTTAGATTTAAAAAATTTCATATAATTCTATTTGTTAGCTTTATGTAATGTTTAAAATTATTTTTCTGTATCCTCAGACTATTCATGTTTACCTGGTTATGATCTTGAATTATACCTTTCTAATCAATACTTACTTTTTATTGATTTTTTTTTCCAGGAAGTTATGACCCTTGTAAATGACTAGTAGTTTTGCTCTTTTTCCTTTAATCCATTTGCTGATTTTAAAAAATATTCTGTCAAGCTTTTATATGAGCTCCTTGTAGGATGATAGTGCTAGGCATTTTTCTGAATTGCCCTCTGATTGATACTCTTAATATACTGTATAAGGAAGAGGAGCCATCAGCAATTACTTTTAGTTCTTCTGTAGAGATGAATAAACATCTTGAAATGCTGATTTAGACAATGTTTTAAAAATGCTATGATGCACTTCGGTGTATGACACACTCTTGCTTAGTTAAATGTTTTGCAGCATTATAACATAGTTGGATTCAGCTCATCTTTTAAAGCAGTTGTCAGAAAAATATGGGCCGGCATGGTAGAATGTATTAGCTCAATACATTGTCTCCGTTTTATTATGAAGCTGCTGAGGAAGCTGTGATATACAGCACTGTCATTACAGATCTATTGTTAGGACGGTTCCGCAGTCTTCTTTGCACTGCCATTAATTTATAGCAGTAAACAATATGTAGCCTTCCTACTGCAGCAGAGCAGAATCTTTTAATGAGGTGGATGTTATTACCACAATAAATCAGTGCTTTCGCGTAATGTATAATTCAATGTGTGTATTCCCACTGTAACTTCTCTGAGTAAGCTGATAGTGTATCATTGTCATTGCACAGCTCCACTGGTCTTTTTTTTTTTTAACCTTCTTTTATTTGGGGACTTCTTTTTTATATGCTTGCAAATAAATGTGGTATGTCTTGATAGCTGTCCTGTAGCAGGCTTCAGAAACCAACTGTAACAATAACAGCCAGAATCAATACTGTGGGTTCTACCTATATGGATTTCTGTGTGATGCTATTTTTTTTTAGATGCGAGTGAAATCAATCCTAATTGGTTTTAGCATTATATTCAAGAAACGTGATTCTATAACTATTGATTTGGGGGTGTACTCATTTGGAGAGTAATAAAAATAGGAGCAGGTAAAGTGAATACTTAATATGCTGCAGAACCATACAAAAGGAGCATTGATTCTATTTTTAATTCACATAATTTCTCTTCCAATGATTGTATTTCTCCTTTCTGTCCTTTTGCATGGCTCAGTCTTTAGGGACAGTGACTAAAATCCATTTAAAGGCATTCCAAATTGGTTCTGTAACAAAGATTTCTTGGAGTCAGTTCCATTCTTAGCTGGCATAAATTTAGTAAATCAGGTTTAATTCTTTTGTGCAGAAACTAATGCTTCAAAAGATGGCATTTTAAATTAGTATACTGTAATACTGATTTAAAATAGTGACCGACTAAAGATTTTTAAAAATTTGCTTGTAAAGTAAAAAGTGGCTTAAAATCAAATGTTGATTAGAAAGAACCGAGCTATTGAAAGAGAACAGTACTAAAGATAAATAGCAGTTTTGAAAAAATAGTTAACAATTTAAGAAAGATAGCCAAAATGATGAATGTAAAATGTTGCTGAAAAATCACATGTTAACATGAAAAGCAGTTTAAAAACTAGTTTAACATTGCCTCATTTTGATAGACTATTTCTGAATACATCTATTTTTGAACCAATATTTTAACATTTTTAGTTGAACATTTCCCCCATAAATAATCAGATATTTTTCTATCTCTTATAAATGAGGGGTGACTGACACATAAGTTTTCATTAAAGAAAGTAATCAGACACATCTTATTTTTTTTCAGTGAATTGGTACTTACATTTTAAATAAGAAATAGACATTTTATAGATATCCAAGTATTTTTTATGAGAATGAATTGTTACTTAAAGCAGTTGATCTTAACATTCCTTGAGCCCTTAGGACCCTTTGCGAATCTTAGAAAGACCCTGTTTGTCTTCCCTAAGAAAATCTACACGTGCACAGTCACACAAAATTTTGCATACTGTTCAATGGAGTCCACGTATTCCCTGAATACTAACAGCAGCAGCAATAAGGATACCAGCTAGCATTTATGAAGATCTTATCTTTTGCCATGCAATGTGCTGTGGCTTTACAGGCTATTATTTCATTCAAATTTTACCCCAATTCTGAAAGATAATCTTAAAATAGTAGCATTCATTGAATGTTGGCAGGCATGGTTTGTAGGACTGTGCATGTACTGACTCATTTTCCAAAGCACCCTTCTGGCTGGGTACTATTACTACTCCATCAAGCCCCGGCTCTTCACCGCCTTGCTGTGCTGCTTTTGGGACCTCTGCTGTAATGTATTGTTTCACTATAGAAGCTTGAAACCTGCCTGCTATTTCTGTGTTATGTATTTTTTATATTTCGTGCTGGCCTGTTTTTATCCTCTAAATTCTGGTTTCCCTCGTACTAGTGGAAATCCCTGGGTTTACATTTCATCCCCTTTTTGCCCAGTCTCCTCCTTGCACTCCTTCTCTCTCCCCACAATTTTATTTCATCCTCTTTGCAGACCCTATTATAAATGAATCCTCTAGCGTCAAGATTCTGTTTCTGGTTGTTGCTTCTAATTAACTAAATAGGATTTTATAGGCGTTTTGCAAAGCATTATATAGCTAATATTCACTTCATGTAATTGTCTGTATGAAAAAAAAGCTTGTTATGGGCTGATAAAAGACCTTTGTTTAACAAAAACTAGACTTGTTGAGAAATGGCAGGTTTCTCCATCCACTTGTATGTGTATGTTTAACCTGCACTGAAAATAAGTTTGCTTTCCATCTACTCCCTGAATGTACCACTGTTTTAGCTTAAATAGTAAATATATATATATATTTTTTAAGATTTTATTGGGGAATTGGGGGAGGGGAACAGCGCTGGGGAATCAGGGGAAGGGGAACAGACAAGTTGCTGTTGTTTTGTTCTTCAGTCTAGTTGTGGAGGATGTTGCTTCACTGGCCCAAGTTGGCACCATCATTGAGCTCTTCCTGGGCGAGGCACATCAGTCGCCAGCCTCTGGGAGGCTACTCACGGTGGCTGCTGGCCGCTCACACTGGCTGTTGGCTACACACGGTAGCCCATGGCAACCCACTGCCACAGGGGCTGCAGCCTATGCTGTCGCCGACGACCCAAGGCAGCCCAGCTCCAGGTTGAGCTGTTGTTCAGCATCTTAGCTGTAGAGGGCAGTGTCACTGGGCCTCATATGTGGGATCCGAACCGGGGCCCTCTGGCATCCCAAGCGAGTTCTTAACCATCACGCCACTCGGCCGGCTCTAAATATATTTTTAAAATTCACTTTGAAACTTCCTAATAGGACAGCATTTGAGAGTGAAAGAAATAAACGACGCTTACATTTATGTGTTCTTGTTCATTTTTTTTCTCCTCCCATTGACAGCCAATAGGAGCTTTGAATCCAAAGAGAGCAGCATTCTTTGCAGAGCGCTATGAATCATGGGAAGACGATCAAGTTCCAAAGTTCCACTATGGTACTCATTACTCAACTGCAAGTTTTGTTCTTGCATGGCTGCTAAGAATAGTAAGTTCAATTTGAATAATAAACCATGGATAAATGAATTCAGTGTTGTGGAGAATGTGCAATGATTAAAAATCATCAGCATCTTTTTTGAAGGCTAAATTTTTTTCCAATGATGAAGGTTCTAATTAAAGTATCTGTCTCCCATTCGGTATGTGTTTTATAATCTATTACTGTAGAATCACCTTAAAAATATTTCACCTTGAATTGTGTGAATTTTTTTCCTTAAATTTGCCTCTTCAAATGGTTGCTATCTTAACCAAATCCTAAGCAGTAACATAGATTATATTCAAATCTAGTCTATTAAAATAAGAAATAAGATTTCATTAACACACGTATATTCGTATATTTTAGAGCTTCAATTGCCCCAAATGGAATAAGGCATGTTTGTAGGTTACACCAAGCTGCCACGTATTGATAATATATTGGTTAAACAAGAAATGTTTCTGTAAAATTGAAAGGTGATTCATCTACTAGAAGGTAATTTCTTTGGGAAAGCATTAGCAGCACATCATTAATTAAAGCTTGTTGGAAGGGTACAGGCAGACATAAATCCTAGAAGTAATTTATAGTGCTTAGCTAATTTCAAGCAATTATCCACTAATATGTGTTTAAGTGTTCTTTAACTAAGAGGAGGCTTTTAAATCTTACAAACATTTTTCTTTTCTTAATCATAAATTAAATATTGAGCCATAACAATAGGAAAATAACATATTGGATTATTTCCCTGTACTATGAAAAAATGCAATCTAATTTATGTCTGAATGTTATTAATAAATTGTTCTTGGAAAGGAAAAGTGGATGAAAAATGTTGCACATATCACATTTTGGATTTCTTTTGAAACAAAAATATTTTAAGATCATTAATGTAATAATTTAGATATAATTCCCAGTCTGTTCCTAGTATGTATTACTGGCTAATGTCTATTAGTCATTAAAATATTTAGATACAAAGATTTATAAAAAAACACATTTTTATGCTTTAGGGAAGTTAATGGATTTTTTTAATTCCTTATTTTTTAGGAACCCTTCACAACTTATTTCCTAAATTTGCAAGGAGGGAAATTTGATCATGCAGATCGAACTTTTTCATCAGTTTCCAGAGCTTGGCGAAACAGTCAGCGTGATACATCTGATATTAAGGTATAGAAATGTTGCATTTTACAGTTACTGTTGCCAGTGTGCTCCTTGTTGAGGGAACGTTGAGTATTCCTCTTTTGCAATACAGCGCTATTTACTAATGATGAGCCTCAAGGAGTGGGGTCTCGTTATGTGGCCAAGAACCACTGTACAGAATTTGCCTCTTGCTCTCTCGCTTCCATATCTGTCTCTGCCTGCCTGTGTGTCTGTTTGTGTGTCTGTCTCTTCTCTGCCTCTTTTCTTTAGTTATAGAATGGTTGTTTTTCCTCTTCCTTGGAATCATTTTTTTTAAAGGAAAAACATAGTATGGATGTAAGGCAGCATGCTCACTGGAATTCCAAACTCAGTGAATAAAATTAATATAGTCAGAAAAATACTACGTAAAAAATCTCAGACTTTATTTTAATATTTCAGAGATCCTAAATCATCTTTTACTTGCTGCCGGTTCTAAATGCATACCTGACTGATTGGTATAGGATTGCATTATTATTGAAGAGAAATAAGAATTTTCCTATCTCTATGTTTACTGTAAAACATCAAAAACTTTGCACAGTAGCTAACATAATCCTTACTAGAACTTTGCTTCTATCCTCAGATGTATAGTAGTATATTTTCATGACGTAGTGTCTCTTTCTGCAAAATACTGGTGTTAGAAGCTATTGAATATAATGTGGTATGCCTATGGTTGTGTAGGTCCTTATAGTACCATAAAGACATATGACTTATGCATGAATAATTGTACTATTTGTGAGACAGTGATAACTACCATATGAGATATATTGGGGTTCAACAGAGGAAAAGTTACATTACTGATGTTTATGTTACTATAGAGTACTTTAAGTTCAATATAACGATAATTACATTTTACTTTTTGGTATGGTACTTTATAGTCTATAAATGGTATTCACATATTTTATCTTAACTGTACAGTATAGTATTGCTTATACCAAAGATTTCATCATATGTGGAAATAATCTTATATTGGGCCACGTATAGGATTTTTGGGGGTTTTTTTGTTTTTTTGTTTGTTTGTTTGTTTGTTTAGCTGAGCCATCCTGCTACCTGTTGGCAGCTCATCGGCTGCTCAGCTCGGGCCAGGACTTGAACCGTTGTTGCTCAGAGCTCAAACTCTTGAGCAAGCTCTTAACCGACTGAGCCACTCAGCCGGCCCAGGATTTTTTGATAGTCACAAATAATGTACTTTGAAATACCTCTGAAATTATATATCATACTCTTCCAGAATCATTAGTAGATAATTTTGAAATGGATATTAGATAACAGTAAATCAGAATACTTAACAGATTTAATAATTGTTGAATTCTACTTCTAATCTCAAAGCTATTTAATTACTTATTTAACTCTTTTGAGAAGTAATAGGAGATATGGAAATATTGATAAGTCAGACTTTTTGTCATCAAATTAAAGACATGAATTTTTTTAATTTATGCATTTCTTCACTTATTAAGCATCTGTTGACCAAGTTATCACCTCATAAGTTTGGTCCTAGAAGTGTAAACAACAAGATCATAAAATTGAAAATTGTTTTTCCTGGATGTATAATAGAGAGGTAGTGGATATCTTCCAGCTTTCCCCTCTCAGTACTAGACATTCCTGCTTAATGCATTGGTAGGCAGGAAGTGCATATGATAGATCCTTGTAGTTTTGCTGTCTCTCAAGATTCTTTAATTAGCACATGTCTGGTTCCATTTTCCCAACACTTCCCTTAAAATAGTGTAAAAACATAGATAAACCCATGCAAAACAGCTGCAGCATTAAAATAAAGCCCACATGAACTTGTTTATTTTTCTCCTCCCTTATTTTGTTCATTATCTTTGTTTTTTTCACAAATAATAAGGACTTAAACCCATCTCGCTTTCCTTTGAATGCCCCAGTAGATTTTGTTAAAATAGTCCCAATTAGTAGACAATACTAGAATTTCAGTTCTTCTATTGTGTTACTTAATCTCTAGCTTTCTAGCAGTGTTATATAGGGTACTATAGGAAGAAGTAGAGTACAAGGTTAAAGGAAATTTTTTTAAAAATAAAAGAATTTAAAATTCCAATTGTCAAGTTGATTGGAATTTGATTAGCAGTATAGCTTCATTTTTAAATAGCATTCCATTATGTTCAGAGCCACAGAAATTTTCTTCAGGACTAACTTTGCAGAAACCCACTTGCTCTTGCTCTTCTAACCAATGTGGATAGTCTCCATTTTTTATTATTTATTTATTTATTTATTATTTATTTATTATTAATTTTTTTTTACCGTAAAATATCTGTAGGGTGGATAGGGCATTGAAAAATTACCCCATTTTCTATATTGATAACCAGCTAATTTGGGTCCTATAAATAACTTAGTAACTTTCAAATACTTTGAAAAGTATGTAATATATGGTTCATAGGCCATCTAAAGAACCACCCACTGAGGAGGGATTTAATCATGTCTTTCTTTTACTCTCACCTATTTAAAAGTGTTCTATTTTAACACTTTAGGATGCCTGTTTAAATTATGTGTTAAATAATATAATGTGTAAGAACAAATGTATAAGAAAGCATAGTTAAATCACCCTAATAGTGTAAACATTTTATTGAGATATAACATTATATTTTAGTTGGAATTATATTTATTATAGTCTTGACCTCTATTGTCTTGGAGTTTCTAGAAATAATTAGGAAAACATTAAGAAGTAGAGAGGGGATAGTGAAATATGAGGGTGGGTGGTGGAAATCACTTTACTGAATGGATTCTAAAGTACCTTACTTGATTAATATACTATATGTTATTGAAACTGTTTTCTTGGCATTTTACAAATATGAAATTGTGTGAGGTAGATAGATTTATTTAAATTATTTTATCAGAAAAAAATAATATAACATTTCTAATACTTAACTCTTTCTTGCTGGAGGGGAGCTGGCATTTATCTTAGAATCCCTATTTCTTTCACTCTGCTAATACTGAGAGAATAATTTTATTAAAAAATAAATGTATTTCTATAAAGTAAAGGTAAAAATACAAATTCTTTTTATTTCACAGAAGAAAGAGACCTTATTAGATTTAAGATCAGTCTTTCATTTTTAGCATGATTTACTATTTAGAGTTTTGGGGATCATTTGTATTTTGGTGCATCCTTGGTGGTTTCATTTTAGATCTGATGCTCAATAATACTTTTTATCCTTCATGATAAACAATTCAGAAGTGTTGGTCCGTTTTCTAAGTAGGATACCACACTGTCCAATGGAAATATAATGCAAACCACATGTGAGCCACATATATATTTTAAAATTTTCTTGTAGTCACATATAAAAAGACAAAAGAAGAATGTAAAATTAACTGCAATAATGTATTTAACCTGGTATAGCCAAAATGTTATTTTTCAACATATAATCAATATGAAATTGTTAATTTGATATTTTACGTTCTTTTTTGCCTACTAAGTCTTTAAGATATGGTGTGCGTTTTATGTTTACAACATGGCTCTATGTAGAGTAGCCACATTTCAAGTGTTTAATAACCACCTGTGGCTAGTGACTACTATATTGGGCAGCACAGACTTAGGGCATTGTTTTGATATTACACCAAGAGATAGCTTCCTGTTTATGGAAAGAATGCCTTTGTCCACTTTGAGCAGTGATTTTCCTGATGTTGTATTTTATGTAAATACAAACTTACAAGTAGTAGCAATAATAGGTAATCCTAGGGACTGAAGTAGAAAGCGCTGAAAATTGGGTTGGAGAACCATCACTGTGATAAATAATAATTTTGAATCCCCAGCAGATTCTATGTTTCAAGTCTTAAAAACTCACTTAAAAGGCCAGTGGTATCACACTCTCTGACTTCAAATTATACTACAAAGTGACAGTAATCAAAACTGCATGGTATTGGCAGAAAAACAGACACACAGAACAACTGAACAGAATCAAGAACCCAGAAATAAACCCACCTATCTATGGGCAAATAATTTTCAACAAAGAGCCAAAAACATACAATGGAGAAAAGAAAATCTCTTCAATAAATGATACTGGGGAAATTGGAAAGCCACATACAAAAGAAACTATAGACTGCTATCTGTCACCATGTACCAAAATTAATTCAAAATAGATAAAGACCTAAATATAAGACCTAAAACAAAACATTTCATAGAAGAAAGCATAGGTCCTAAACTTATGGACCTTGGGTTTAGGGAAGATTTTATGAATTTGACCTCAAAGGCAAGGGAAGTAAAAACAAAAATAAATGAATGGGATTATATCAAACCAAAAAGCTTCTGCACAGCAAAAGAAACCATCAACTAAACAAAAAGGCAACCAACCAAATGGGAGAAGATATTTGCAAATGACACCTCCAAATAGGGGCTAATGTCCAAAATATATAAAGAGCTCACAACTCAACAACACCACCAACAACAAAAAGACCCCAAACAATTCAGTATAAAAAATGGGCAGATGACCTGAACAGATACATCTCCAGAAAAGACAGCCAACAAGTATATTAAAAGATGCTCAACTTCACTAGCTATTAGGAAAATGCAAATCAAAACCACAATGAGATACCACCTCACACCTGTTAGATGGTGATTGTCAATAAGACAAGTAATAATAACAAGTACTGGAGAGGCTGTGGAGAAGAAGGAACCCTCATACATTGTTGGTGGGAATGTAAATTGGTGCAGCCACTATGGAAAACAGTATGGAGGGTCCTCAAAAAAATAAGAATAGAATTACCATAAAATTCAGCAATCCCTCTTGATATCTACCCCCAAAATCTGAAAACATTTATCTGTCAAGATACATGTTCTCCAATGTTCATTGCAGCATATTCACAGTGGCCAAGACATGGAAACAACAAAAGTGTCCTTTGAAGATGATTGGATAAAGAAGATGTGGTAATATACACAATAGAATACTACTCTGCCATAAGAAAAGATGAAATAGTGCCATTTGCGACAACATGGATGGATTTTGAGATTATCATGCTAAGTGAAATAAGTCAGAAAAGTTGAAAAC